ATCAGGACGTTTCGGGTCTTTCGTAGACTGAATGTCCCACTGGTCAAAAGTAGTAAGGTTTAATTCAGTTTGATCAGATCAGATTTCCAGATCATCATAATCAAAATTCATTGTGTGGGTCTTCCATAGACTCGATATCATACTTACCAGAACTGTATATTTTGATCAAAGTTTAATAGTCTCTTAGTCGCATATCATATCAGAGGTCATTGGGCCATTAGTAGACTAAAAAACCTTTCATGAGAGACCGGTCCGCGTCCATAGGATCTATAAGTGCTAAGACTCCTATAGCACACTTAATAGGAGAACAGAATAGGACTATGCTATTTCAGGTAAGCAATGGGTCGTTCATAGACTAAAAAACCTTTTTTGAGAGACCGGTCTGCGTTAATAGGATTTATAAGTGCTAAGACTCCTATAGCGCACTTAATAGGAGAACAGAATAGGACGATGCTGTTTCAGGTAATCAATGGGTCGTTCGTAGACTGTATATCCCACTCGACCGAAACACCAAGATCTATCGGGTAATTCGGCAAATCATTAGGACATATCAGGTCTTTCGTACACTGAATATCCCATTGGTCAGAGGTAGTAAGTTTAATTCGATTTTTATCAGATCGTTTGCCAGATTATCATAAATAGGATAGCAAATAGAAAACAGATGTACCTATAAATAAGTGCATTCATAGGCACTTGGTATAACTGGCAGAGATAAAGAAGAACATATCCCATAATTATTAGTAACATTATTGTTGACGTCCTGCCCAAAAGTCATACTTATAAATGATAGCACAATTATTTTATTATGTTACCAATTCGGGTTATGTTCTTTAACTGACCCAGTTATACCCTTGTTTGTCACGTTGTTTGCCCTGAAAAAACCTTTGTTTTTCAGGTTAGCCAACGTGACAACTGACAACGAAGATACATTTTGTTCTTAGCCACTAAAGAGAATCAAATTAAATTAGCTTTTCTCTCTTTACAACTATACCATAACAGCCACAACAGTCCACTGCTGGACATGGGCCTCCCCCTATCGGAGAGAACTGCCATACTCACCACGCTTGGCAGGCGGATTGGCGAGCGCATTTCAAGATGTTTTATTTCACGGAACGGATGATTATCCCTTAGTCGCTTTTTACGACACCCACGTTTAGAATTGGAGTGATGCTATTCTAAGCTGGCATCACACGGCAAATAATGCAACCGAGACTTATTTTTCAGGTGGGCAGATCAGAACTAAGGCTTATAAGTCCGGACAGAAAACAGATACTACTGTTCCGTGCCTTCAAAGATGTCGCTAGCTGCGTCTTAGGACGGATCAACAAGTAAGTTCTTCTATAAGTCTTTCAATATTAAAATCAAAACATAGTATAAAATGAAGACGCCTTTTTGCGTTTTTCTGTCTGAATTCGCTAAATCCTCCTAAGCCACGCAACAGATTTTGATGCGGTTTTTTGTAATAGATAGGGTGATTAAAGAAGAAGATTTGTTATATGTATAACTCATTCATGGAAAATGCCTTTTTCGCGCGGAGAAATTGAGTTGCAGCGGGTGAATCGCTACCTAACAAGCCGCTAGTTTTGAATCAGTGTTCTTTCTTTGTACACGACTGCCTCAGAAGGAAGGTTATGTTTTTCGAACCCGCGATAAATTAAATACTTAAAAAATAAACACTTCCTCTGATGTAAGTTTTCCAAAGAAATGCTTATGTTTATTAAATTAAAATTATGTATGATTACTTTCAGGGACCATTTCGGCTTCGTGTGTCGTGAAAATGTCAACGACCAATACGCGTGTTACGTGTTCAAATGTGAGAGCGATTCCGTCGCGTTGGAAGTCATCAACGGTAATGCTCTGAAGTTTTCTACATACAAAATAAATACAGGATTCAGACTTTTGAACAAGTTTTAAACAACACGCTTTGAACCTGGTCGGTTCGGTCAAGGCCATTGATAGCTTTTGTTTTTATTTTCATAAAAATATTGGTAGAATGCATCACGATTGCTCGATATACCTCCTTTCATGTGCTTGAGAAAAGGGCTAGGTATAGTCCGTAGGCAAGTTTAGGCAGTTACCTATGTCACATGACATCAAGACGAAACGCATGGCACCAGGTCGGAACGGTAGTGTTATGCATAAATCAAGAGAATTAGATCCCGGAATTGGCCGGAAGTTGGAAAATCCGTGACTTCCGGTGCCAATTTTGGGGGTACGTCATATGACATCATGACGACAAATAAGACAGCATTTATCGCTTTACAAATGAAGAAGAATATAAACAAACATAAGTCTGGCTGTTCTGAAATGGCCGGAAGTACTAGGTCGACGGCGTTATTATTTTTTACCAACTTCTTCCAAGTATTTCCGGCCATTCTAGAACAGGCAGACTAATGTTTATTTTATAAAATAATTGCTAATATAGTGTGAAATTTAACTAGTGACCGATAGCAAAAACTCAGAACTGGCTAGTGATAAGGAACAACTTTCCCCAAGGAACATAGGTCGAAATACGAATATAAATTTTGGACCTTCCGTACAATCTTGCCGATCAGCTGATTTCAGTTACTATGGGAGGTCCAAATTTTTTTTTCGTATTTCGTCCTATGTTCTTTGGAAAGTTGTTCCTTATCACTAGCCGGTTCTGAGTTTTCACTATCGGTCACGAGTAAAATTTCTCCCTATATATCTCTAAATGCTGCCATGAGTTTTGTAACGATATCATATCACGCACCTCAAAAATTGGTACCGAAACTCACGGATTTTCCATTTTCTGGCCATTTGTTGGTTCTGATTCTTGCTTAGCACAACCTTTACGACCTGCTATCATGTGTCTTATCTTGATGTCGTAGAAGTCGACTTATTTTCTATTGCGTTATTTTTGCAATAATAATCTATTACAAAGATTTAAAAAATGGATTTAGAAGAAAAGACAATAATGTAAGCGAATAGTTGTAAATGAAATACGTACTGATTATATCAACTCTTTATTTGTTCTTCCAGCAATAAGACAAGCGTTCATCGCTCACGCCGAACTGCTGAAGAAATCCCGCGAGAAGTCACCGAACATGACTTGTGAACATTGCCCCATGTTATGGTACCATAGGTTATGCCACGACGTAGAAGGTAAGAATAATTTTAGCCCCTAAATTATTTTAATAGCTTCTCAATTGTCACATCAGCCCCTTAAAATAAGATAACTTTCGATTCAAAAAAAATATTACTAACAGCTTGACCACTTCTTTTATCTGTCATATCAGTCCCTCAACTATCACCTTAGTCCCTCAACTGTCATATTAGCCCCTCAACCGTCACGCTAGCCCCTCATTCGTCCCTTAACTGCCCCTTTAGTCCATTTAATTTTAATCCCGTGAGAAGTCACCGAACATGACTTGTGTGTGAACATTGCCCCATGCTATGGTACCATAGGTTATGCCATGACGTAGAAGGTAAATATTACTAAGAGTTAGAGTTTGGCCATTTCTTTTATGATTATGTCACATTAGCCCCTTAGCTGTCAAAACAACTGTTGAATAAAACCCTCAAACTGTCACATTAGCCCCTCAAACTGTCACATTAGCCCCTCAGCTGTCACATTAGCCTCCCAACTGTCATATTAGCTCCTCAAATATCATAATAGCCCTTCAACTGTCAAAATAGCCCCTATCTCTCATATCAAATCAATCCCCCAACTGTCACATTAGCCTCTCGACAGTCACATTAGCTCGTCAACTGTCATATTAGCTCATTAAATCCCGTGAGAAGTCACCGAACATGACTTGTGAACATTGCCCCATGTTTTGGTACCACAGGTTATGCCATGACGTAGAAGGTAAATAAAATAAAATAATTCTTTATTCAATAAATTTAATTACTAAGAGCTTGACCATTTCTTTAATTAAAAACTCACTTTTAATCTTTATTTGTCACATGAGCTCCTTATCTGTCACAAGAGCCCCTTATCTGTCACATGAGCCCCTTATCTGTCACATGAGCCCCTTATCTGTCACATTAGCCCCTTAACAGTCATAATGGCTCCTTAAATCCCGCGAGAAGTCACCGAACATGACTTGTGAACATTGCCCCATGCTATGGTACCATAGGTTATGCCATGACGTAGAAGGTAAATATTACTAAGAGCTTGACCATTTCTTTTATCTGTCACATTAGCCCCTTAACTGTCTTATTAGTCCCTCAACTGTTTAATAAAACCCTCCTGTCACTTTAGCCTCTCATCTGTCAAATTAGCCCTTTAACTGTCACATTTACCTCTCAACTGTCACTTTATCCCATTAACTGTCAAATTAGTCACAATAATCACCGAACATGACTTGTGAACATTGCCCCATGTTATGGTACCATAGGTTATGCCATGACGTTGAAGGTAAATATTACTAACTTTACTAAGAAAGAGTTTGACCATTTTTTTTATGTCACATTAGCCCCTTAGCTGTCATAACAACTGTTGAATAAAACCCTCAAACTGTCACATTAGCCTCTCAGCTGTCATATTATCCCCTCAAATATCATAATAGCCCCTCAACTGTCAAAATAGGTCCTTATCTGACAAATTAATCCATCAACTGTTATATTAGCCCTCCATCAACTGTTATATTAGAATTTGTACCTCCTATACAATATTTAGGATCAGCTGACTGACTTTGTATAGGAAGTCAAAATTTATTTTCCTGTACCACCGTATGTTCCATAGGGAAAGTTGTTCAGTTTCATGGTCTGTGCACGCCTGCAAAGTTTTCGTTACATCGTCCCTAACACCCCGTATTAAGGTACGTTCATTGTTCATAGTAAGTGAAGTCAGTACGTAATTTTTTGCCAGGTATGAACGAAAAGAAGACCCACGCGTTCATCCTCCGAAGAATCGAGCAGCTACCTGAGGATGAACAGGATCTCATCATCACCAAGTACCAAGGAGGCACCAACCACATGTATGAGGTATGTAGTGTAACTTAAATGAAAATAAGAAAATTGAAAAATTGTCATGCATCGACTGGGGCTCGAGGCCGGCCAGTATGGGTCAGCGACCCACTGCTCTGCCACTGAACTATCAATGCACCGGTAGATGCCTGCCAAATTTTTCAATCTCTTGATGCTCGTCTTCAAGCGAAGATCTAGTGATATCTGTAGAAAGGATCCCACCCAAAACATAAATGTGAAAGGCTGCCAAGTTCGATAATATTGGAATGCTTCGCCTATAAAAGAAATGAGATCTAAATAAGTACCAAGTTCCATCAATTTTCAACAATTTGGAAAGTAGATTCTTATTTCCAAACTGCGAAAAATCAAGTGTGCATTCCTGTAACTATTTTTAACTGAGGTCTGTATATGGAACTTGGTACTTATTTAGATCTCATTTCTTTTATAGGCGAAGCATTCCAATATTATCGAACTTGGCAGCCTTTCACATTTATGTTTTGGGTGGGATTTCATTTATTTTTGTAAGGTTTATTTTCTTTTTTTCTTATGATTAAGTTAGGTAAGGAAATATCTCATTTATACTTTACTTTGACAAACCTTCGTAACGAATTTTAGGTCGGTACGACAATTGGAAGATATAGATAATTTTTTTGTTTTAGTTCCTTAGGGGTATGAATTTACACCTTCATTATTTTTAAAACCGACTCACACTTGGCCATTTTCAGATTTTTTCCTTTACCTTGACCTAAAGACCTACCTCCATGCCAAATTTCAAGTCAATACGACCATTGGAAGTGGTCTAGGTTTTTGATGAGTGAGTCAGTGAGTGTATAGTAAAAATAGCGATTTTCTGACGTCAATATCTCAAGACCTACAATAGGTACATTAATGAAATTTTGTATTTTAGATAAGTAAGTAGATCTCGACAGATACTAGAAATTTCATAAGCGTAGATAAAATAAATTTTGAGTTATAGGTGGGTCGAACTTGGCCCGAAATGGTTCGTGTAATATAACCCACGGCCGGTGTGTCGCTTTTTTTGCTCGAACTTGGCGGACACACTGCCGTGTGTCTAGATTTACTACTTTACTACCTGGTTAGTCCACATCACAGTAGGAATTCAAACCATATGATGAAGCTATTGCTTAAAATCTCAATAGATAGGTATTAACTTATGATATAATTGTATGGGGCAATGAGATAGATGACTCAATATTGAACATGATGATGAAGCAATCGAGCAGTTGCCTGAAGATGAACAGGATCTCATCATCACCAAGTACCAAGGAGGCACCAACCACATGTATGAGGTACGTAGTGTATTTAGGTATTAACTTATGGTATTATTGTATGGGGCAATGCGATAGATTGCGACAATAGCAGTTGCCTGAGGATGAACAGGATCTCATCATCACCAAGTACCAAGGAGGCACCAACCACATGTATGAGGTACGTAGTGTATTTAGGTATTAACTTATGGTATTATTGTATGGGGCAATGCGATAGATTGCGACAATAGCAGTTGCCTGAGGATGAACAGGATCTCATCATCTCCAAGTACCAAGGAGGCAACAACCACATGTATGAGGTATGTAGGTATGGCAATGGAACCGACCACAGAATGAGGACTTTTTGTGCTTATGACTTTTTACATCTGTTATTATTTTCATGGTGAGGCCTTTGCCCAGCAGTGGGACAATATACAGGGTTATTTTTTGATCACCCAGGAAAATTTGCAGGGTGATTCTTCTTACGATTCTGAACAACTTTTACTATGGGGCCCCCTGCGAATTCGCAAAAAAAAAGGATGTTCCATTGAAAAATTCATGGGTACCTACTCGGCAAAAATGTATGGAGAACCAAAAACTTTTCTGGATTTCGCGTTTGGCCCCATAGTAAAAGTTGTTCAGAATCATGAGTAGAATCACCCTGCAAATTTTTGTGGGTGATGAAAAAATAACCCTGTAGGCTGATAATAATAATTATTATTATTTTCAAGCAGGCCATGACTTGAAATGTTGTTTTTTTTTATTCCTTATCCTTAGAAATTGATTGTTTTGCAGGTATCAGAGCACAACGCATTTTTGATGATGCTTCTACGAGCGCATTGTGAAGCCAAGCAAACTCGACACGTACACGACACTGCAGAGCATAGGTCAGTAAAAATAATAATTAACTAACTTCAGGCCAGTAACAAAATTGAATTAACTAACAATTTTAGGCAAGAACCAAAATTGAATTGACTAATTCCTTATTTTCGGGTGGAGTAGTGCACAATTTTATGTATCCAAGCATAGGAATGAAAAGGATTTGAACCTACTACTTTGGATGCATTTTTGAAAGCGGTTTTTTTTGCGGTTGATTATTACAGAAACTAAACCGAAAGATGGCGTTGGAAACAGATTATCCCGACCTCGTCTATGGCTGCAAACAGCGTCATCATTTAGTTAAGTTTCTTCAAAAAACGCTATAGGCAATAAACGTGGCTTTTTCCGAACCTTTATAACTTGAGCTTTTTTAAGGCAAAAGTGAATAGGCACTACCTAGGGAAGCATGCTCCAACATCGTCTGCATTATCATCCATCACTTACCAACCAGGTGAGTTGATATTTGAGACTTGACAGGTGAGAGAGGATAGGAGACAAATGCGGGCCTATATTATTAAAAAACAAATACACATTTTTTTACATGATCTTTGGATTTGAACCATTTAAATTTCCATTGCAGATCGGAGTTCCTGAACCAATACCTAGGCGGCAGCACCATCTTCATGAAGGCGAAACGCTCTCTCTCGTCTGGTTTCGATCATCTTCTGAAGCGACGCGCGAGCAGAGACGATCCTACGCCGCCACTGCTGAGAAAGGTATCGTGTTTTGGTTCTTTTCTTTCCTGTTCGGTCCTTTTTTCTTGTTCTTTTCTTTTCTTTTCTTTTATTTTCTTTTCTTTTCTTTTCTTTTCTTTTCTTTTCTTTTCTTTTCTTTTCTTTTCTTTTCTTTTCTTTTCTTTTCTTTTCTTTTCTTTTCTTTTCTTTTCTTTTCTTTTCTTTTCTTTTCTTTTCTTTTCTTTTCTTTTCTTTTCTTTTCTTTTTTTTCATTTTTTTTAATTTTTTAAACTGTGTTGGGAGAGGGAGAGATACCTTATGATCAATATGATACTTTTATTTTAAAACTAATCAATCAGTTACCGAGAGTGCAGACAAAAGCACGGGAAGATATCAAGTTGCTTTTATTTATTCTTATACGTTATTGCACATAGTACTAAAGGCGGGCCTAATGTCACGCGGCATTCTCTACAGGCCAAGCAGAGGGTAAACAGGGAGAAAAAGATACGGGTGCACTCGGGTGTAAAATAACATTAAAATAAGAAATAAAACAAAGTGTGCCTATTAATGCAAATAAATACCTAAATACCAACCAAACATACATACAAGGTGTTCCAATGTAAATACATTAAATTGGAGACGTTGTGTAGGCCATCGTACCGAATAATTATCATTATGGGACCAAATTATGAAAACCCCTCGTTTAGAAGTAATTAGCATCATAAATTTGTTAAATTTAATTGAGTGCCACATTATGAAAGGAGCTTTATTGATTATGACTTTTATTTATGTCATGTTGCCGTCCTGGAAAAACTTTTAAAATTACCGCCACAACTGTTACCAAGGCAACGGTTTTGGCGGTAATTTAGTTAACAAGGCAAAATTTTTGGCGTACACCAAGGTCAAAATATGTCATGTTCGTCAAAATCTGACACAACTGACACTACGGACTCTACTGTGTTCTCTGATTGGTCTTTTGTCTTTGCGTCTCTATGGGTGCTCTAAGTCAAAATAAGTTTTTAGTTTGAGGCGGCAATAAAATAAAGTTGACACCAAGAAAGAGATCTTTTATCTTAAGTTTTCATTTCAATTTAAAACATAGACAACTACATATGTTCCAAACTTTTTCGAAGATTCAAATCTAACAAAAATGCAAGGTTGCAATCTTGGATAAGGGGTAATACATAATGGTTGTAGAAAATGTAGGCATTTACTTTGTATGAAAATTTTAACTTCTTTATTGTTAAGAATTCAAACTTGGTGCCATAATGGAAATTGTTCAGTACAGTGGTCTACACAACGTCTCCAATTTAATGTATTTCCTTTGGAACACCTTGTATTAGTTGTCAATGTTGTATACCTACTACATATAAACATGTCCAGGTCTTCAATACAATCATATAGAACTATATAGCATAAATCCAAACCGTTCTTTTTTCTGCAGGAGGCCTCCCCGATCCCGCCTACACCAGAAACTCCCCCCGATTCGGGGTCAGAATTCCTGTCACCTGACAAAACTGACACCCGCAGCAAATCTGTATCACCGGCCGTCGCTAGCGGTAAGATAATCTTCTTATGTCATGTGGGACTTCTAGTCAACGAACGACCCTATAACTCCTCAGATTCAGGATCAGAGTTCCTGTAGCAAATCCGTATCGCCGGCCGTCGCTAGCGTTAAGATTTTATTGTTTTTTATAATCCCTCTTAACCCCGATACTACTTTAGCCACACACACAGTCTCACATCAGCCTACAACAGTCCACTGCTGGATATATAGGCCTTGCCCAATGCCACAAGGCACGATCCCCCGTTTTTGACATCCAGTCGCTACCAGCCGCTCTCGAAGTCAACAGACCATTTTCACATTTCAATCTTCTTCATCTTTGAGTGGAAGACCTAGTATCATCCGTAATACAAATAACATTTCTGGTGTCATTGCGCCGAATTTCGTCGCGTAATGTCGGTCGTAATGTGTCTAGTCTAGACATTATGAAATGAGCTGAATTTTTCTTTTTCCAAATAGCTGTTTAAGATTTAGGATGATTGTATAACCTGAATCAATGACCAATTTCTTAATTAATTCGTTAATCTAATGATAATGAACTAGTGTGAACTAATCGATTCGATACATTCCAAGAACTAAATATTATATATTATGTTGTAATTGGTTTTATTTCTGTGTCAGTTCTTTTCCAAACTAAACGTTGGGCAGTCTTATTTTCGTTCCTTTTTTTTAATTTGTTGTATTGAATTCAAAATAACTCCCATATCCCCTGAAGAGCAGGCAAATAAACTATAACATTAAGGTAAAGTTTT